GAGATTTTTGGGGGAAGAATTGATTTTTGAATAGTGATATGATGGGAAATGTGTGGTTGAAAAAGAAGAAAAAATTATTGATGTGATGGAAAATATTATTTTATTGAAAAATATGTGATTGAAAATGAGAATTGATTTACTGTAGAAAATGAGAATCTGTACCAAACAGACCCTAAATATTAATCTGGATATTGAGTTGGAAAAAAAATTAAATTTGATAAAGTAAAGATCAAGAAAATTAACCTGGTCAAGTCTGTAGTCGATTCATCTTCATACTGATTGGATCTGCAGGTTAACTGAGATTTGTCCAGATTAATTTGTGTTTATTACAACTTTTTTTAAATAATTTTGTATTACTCATGATGACAATTGCATTTGTTTATGCAATGAATTGATACAATCATGATACTTACAAATCTGATAATACCAAAGAAAAATGAATTGGGGACAGAGGAAAGAGATATTGACTGATATACCTTTCTAGAACAGGAGGAAAAACAATATGAGCACCAAAGAGGTTGGCGGACAAATGCTTAACATCTAGAACAAGAACTCTTCATACTTTTGTCAAGTGAATCCCTAACAAGAAATTTTCAGGCGAGTGAGTGGGCAGTTCACGGTCATGTGCTGCCGATGCAAGGCCTTCTTGCACTAGTACACTAGGGAGGGGATGGGTGAAGTGGAGTTCACTAAAGCTGAAAGCAATATGAATGGTTTGGTTGCAGAGTATCAACACTACCAGGATGCTACTGTGGGAGAGAAAGAAGACTGTGATGAAGGTAAAATTGTTGTGAATATATTATTATCTCACACACATTACAACACAATCTCATTAAGATATATATACAGTTGAAGAATGATGCTATACAAAAATTTGGGATTTTTAAAGATTTGAGAATGTAGGTAACACATATAAAAAAAATTGAATTTAATTTGTAAAAAAAAGAAAATTGGGTACTGAATTTGCAATTATTTCCTTTTAATTTTGACATTTTTTTATTGTTTTAACGTCGGATTTGACGAATCTTGACGAATGGTAGAGAGGTTTTTCACATAAAAAGTTTCAAACATGGTAGTTTTTTTGCGATTTTCAATAGGTAAAGGGGTATATCGCACATAGAAACATTTATTGTTAATCAAAAGTCGCGCTCTCATATTTATATTTACGTCACATGAATATTTTCATAATTTAATTCCGATTTCCTTTAGAATAATTAACTTGCACTAAAGATTTGAAACTTTGACCATCAACACTCGTTTTCTTTATCCCTCCTACGTTGTACGATAAATTATTTATAAGTATATCAAGTTTCTCTTTAATATGGGGATACACATAACATATATTAATCAGTGTTCTAAAATGCGCCAAAATGTGGCTCCTAGGCATGATGCGCGGTGAAAACGCGTTGAATTCGTGATATGCGTGTAAAAATGAGGTCAAAATTTTTTGTTGACCGCCTAGACGTCCTTTATGCACGAGTATGCACACCTAGGCGCAATTAGGCGCGACAAGCGCCTGTTTGAAATCC